CCCCCTGCCTCTCTCCAACAGTTGAGGCCAAGCATTCATCCTCAAAAGTGACGCTGAAGTGCAGGTACTCAGCGGTGTCACAGGTGCACAGTTCCATCTGGACCCACCAGGACAAAGGTCGGACGCTGAAGTGCTCCAGTGTCACGCCGGGCGTCGTCACCACCACTGTGCCCTTACCAGTCACCTCTGACACCGCCGGGAACTACACCTGCACCCTCAGGCTGAAAAACGGCAAGACCGTCTGGGCCACACACGCCGTCACACTGCCCCCAAAGGATGGGAGGAACGGTGAGATGACAGTGATTTTCTACATCTATAGGAGGAGAGTTAGAATCAAGGTAGTCAAAGTAGAGCCCGGTGTGTTTCACAACTATTTAAAAAAAACCCAGAAGGAAAGAAAGAACACACACCCACACTGGGCAGCAGCACGGGGGCTATGGAAAACATCTGCAGCAGATTCAGAGTCAGAGAGTGCAGCAGCAGCAGCAGCAGCAGCAGCAGCAGCAGCAGCAGCTGAACAAAATGAGCTCTAAATCCAACAATCCTTTATTTGTCAGAACTGGGATGAACTGGTCTGTGAACCTCATCAACTGACATTGAAAAAAAGTCCCATTTCTGTCCAGAAACTCTGGACCATCTCTATTGAGCTACTCTGGTTAAACTGGTCAACCTGGTCTGGTCTGGTTGACCTGGTTAACTGTCAATATATAGAAGAAGAGAAACAACAGGAACACTTTAATAAACGTAATTCCACCTTAATAACCAGTTATAGTTCTCTCTCTCTCTCTCTCTCTCTCACCCTCTCACTCCCTTTGTGATAGAAAAACAAAGCCTTCTTATCGTCCTTTCAGCACAGTCACTCCTGCAGCAGACACACAGATACAGAGACAGGACCTCAGGACAAATCTCCACCAAAAACACTCAATAATTCAGGGTGATTGTACGGGGGCCAGCAGGAGACTCACAGGAGGACGTGACAGTTGAATGGACCCTCACCCACAGACCCTCCCACTCCCCTCACCCTGATGGTTCTCATCATGACGCTGTTAGAATGATGCTCATCAAAGGATTGTAGCCCTGGTCATAAAAAAACAGAGAGGAAAAAAACTTCCTGGAAAAAGGTTCATAAAACAAATCTTTTGTGAGCGACAAGCGGCGCGTACGCATGTGTCAGAGTGATAAGTTGACACCAGTGGCAGCGATAGATGTTAAAGCAACGCCACATAATTAAATTCTTTTCACTGGAGGTGCAGCAATCATGGAGCTTTGTGACGAATAATACTCCAAACCTGAGGGATGTTCTGCAGTCATTCTCTGTCAGGAGTTTATCCCATTGTTTGCAAAGCATTCTCGCCAGTCTTTAGTCTGCGCCTTCATCCGTCGGCCGACTCTCTGAACCAGCCCTCCGACTCAAATCGACTCCTACTTCATTTAATGTGAAAGAGATTTGGTGGAGAATAAGTGGCAAACGGTGATGGGGGAGACGGGGGAGACTGGGGGACGATAAGACGGAGCCGCTGTTAAAAACAAGATGGATTCACGCCTCACCTCACTGAACACTATTACCATAATTCATGCGTTAAAGTTGGCTCCTGGAACAGAGCGGGTCGGCCATCGCTCACTGCACTGTTTCATTAGTAAACTCTACACATCCTCTGTGATCAATTAAACCTCACGCAGAACTTAAGGATTGATTCTTTGGAGGCAGACGAGGGCCGTGGTGGCAGGGCTGAGGTGGGGGCCACGAGCCAATTGACAAACTAAATTCACAGGAAGTTGATGAGATGCACCAGAGTGAGTTAAGTAAGGTTCCTGCCCGCCCCGAGTGGCAGAGAGACGCAGTGAGATGTTTATTAATGTATGTTGTGTTTGTCTGTGGGCTGTGACCCAACACTCTGACAGAACTCACGGGTTCTCTGCTCCTGAGGAGAGAACGTGCAGCACAGAACACGGTAAATGACAGTGGTCTCTGTGGAAACCAGCCCCTCCCTCGCCTCGACCCGCACCTCGCCCTCTGGTGATGTTTTACAAGACTGGTCTCATCCTCATTATGCAAACAAACCTGGAATGTCTGATGGTGGGAGGGGGTCGGGCCT